GGACCAACTTTCGCAGTAGACTTTTGCATTGATAATAGACATAATGGCGGTCTATATGGATGGGTTCTGAATTTGGTACTTTTACTGGTCCCAATCAAATCCTGGTACTACCAAGTACAAATTCATGTAAAATTAAACGGCAGCATCTTTCAGTACCTAAAAAACATCATTGAGAAAAAGGTAAGAGGTTGATTGATTTTCCATGTCACACTTAAATGCAGCATTAAAGGCACAAGAATGTAGTGCTATGTTTAACACAGCAAGCATGGCTGATAGGAAGTAATCGAGAGGAGAGCTCCACTTTTCAAATCAAATCAATGGAACCATCTGGTTGAAAGAGAGGTTTTTCACAAGGCTCAAGAATGCACAATTTTAAAAAGCCTCAGATCCAGGGCAACAGCACCTTTAGCATCCCCTAGCGGCTCATCTTCTGCAGCAAGAGGCAGCATCATCTACCTCTGCTGCAGGTAAGCCTGGCATTTTGGATGACGTGTTACCAGAAAAAGGTACTGATTAGTTACCACACAGAGACCCAGGACTGGGCATAGGTTCTGTATCAGCCCAAGTAGTGTGAATGCTATCCATCCTTAGCTCCCTGCCCCAGTAGTATGATATTTAGAGGTATGCATATCTGTTATAAAGATGCAGTAAAGTGAACAAGGAAATTCCAGAGGTTCTGAGTTCAAACCCCACTCCCACTGCCACTCTGGCTTCCTGAACAAAGACCCTTAATCCCACATAGCTCCCCAGGCTCCACACAATGGCACAATCCTCCCCAAACGATGGGTTAAATGCAGATATTTAATTTAGTTGCTCTGCAGTGATGACAGTGTAATGACAATAAAAGCAGAAAAAAAGAAAAATGAGCCAAAGTTTAAAAAAAAAAAACAAGACTACTGTACACGCACAGACAGATGCATGGACTGAAGAAGCTCAGAGCAGCTGGTATGTTTGGGGCCTCGTTATCCAGAAAGTTTCACTGATTGCCTCGATCAGGGGTACATTAGGGGACAAACCTCATAGCAAAGGAAACAGGAGAGGGGAGGCAAGGTACCTGGTGCATGCAGTAACAGGTGGAAGCAGGATGACTAAACCAAAGCTGTAGATAGTGGTGAAACCTGAATGCAGACTAAGAGCTGGCTAATCATATGTAACAACTAATCACTTATCCCTTCAGTAAGACATTAGGAGAAGGTTTTCTTATGAGCATCATTGGGGGGCTCATGATGGACTTTCACCTAAGCCTTATCTTAAATTAACATTTGTTCCAGAGGTGGCTGAATACATTAAAAGGTCTCTCAAAACTCGACCGGTCCTACGGTCCACTTCTGAATTAGACAGAAAAAAGTGTTGCTCAATAAAGTTTTACATAAGGTACTAGTAAAACTAATGACAGGAGAGAACCATGAGAGTTTGAATAAGGCAGAAAGATTTAGGATGAAGAACTATGTTATATTTTAAAAAACATAATTTTACAACAGACAAAATGCTCCAATTTTCTGTTTTGACTGGCCAAATAAAAAAGGTTCTTATTTAGTGAAATAAAGGGTTAGTAAAATAGAGATGAAACAGAACAAGGTCTTGAAAGATGCAAAACATTTAGAGAAGGAATTTTGATCGCTGTTTTGAAGTTAAACAAATTAATGTGGTTTTAGATCTCAGCAAGGATTTAAGAAAATCAACTTTGAGAAATTCATTAAACTTTTATGAAATGCAAACTTATTACACTGAAGCCTAGAGTCTAGTAAGTTTATTTCAGCTTTAAGATTTTATTTATGATTACATGATAAGAATATAGCCATGCAAAGCTTAAACATCTGTTCTGTTTATCAAGATATAGCTTAAATGAAGTACTCCAGAATTTTCTCTGCATTGTCATATGAAGTCTGCTGCTACAGGCTTCAGCCGACTGAGTGATCAAGCCCTACATCCCTGTAGAATAACGCTGCCTTTCATAATGTGCCTACTTTTGGTTCTGTTGAAGTTTTCTTCCTGTGGAAAGGGAGTTTTTCATCTCCATTATCACTGCATGCATAATTGGTGCAAGGGATTGCTGCAAAGTCAGTGACACACAATCCAAGCAGATACTGTCACCACCTGCTAAGAGTCAAATCCTTAAAAGTCAATGACTGGATGCACACAGCTGGTTTTCCTTGAATAGTAAACTTTTATCCAATGTGATTGGATGATCTAAATGAATTGTCGCTGTAAAGCCCGGCATACACTGTACGATTTTTGCCCTTTTCAGGACGATTTTCCAGTCGTGCATGATTTTTTTCAATCGGGCTGAGTTTCAGCCTCATCTACGTCCTGCATCGTGTAGTGTACAGGGGGTAACGGGGGGGACTGGCCTCTCACAACCACCTCCTGATCAAGAATCGTGTGGCTTTGAGAAAATCAAACTTGTTTGAATTTCGGTCATCCATCGTGAGATGTTCATGGACAAATCCTGCTGTTGAAGTAGAGCTACGAGCCAATTTACCAGAACCTGGAGCACTGTACATGAGCAAACAAGAGAGTTCTTCTTTTTCCAGATTGACGAGTCCAGCCAGCGCCACTTCTCGGCGTTGAGTCCCTAGGGTGGTTTTTAGATGTACGGTGTGAGCAGGTAGGTCGCATCAGAGCGTCGGGCCGCACAGTGTGAGAATATACATCATGAGCTGTAAACTTTCAAACCTTACTGTTTCATGGTATAGTTTGAAATGTAGCTGCGTGCAACTATTGAAAATATCGCCCTATGTATGCCCGGCTTAACTTTCCCTAAGATCACGTCTTGTGAATTGGCAAAATATAAAGAAAATGAAATGAATTGAATTATCAGCATGTAACATTACTCAGGTCAAAAGTTATGTATTTTTGCTTTCATAGACTGGTGAAACCTGGAATATATTATTCTTATTTTCAGTTTGAACAATTCTAATTATTCTCATTATTAATTGAATATGGTTTTTTTTCTTGAATTTTGATCTTTCCAAATGATTAAGTCTTCCTTTTAAGTATTTAAGACTTCCGACTAATCATTTTGAGCCACTGTCACATCTAAATGTACCTACTGTAAAACAATAAAGTTGTTTCTTCTTTTTCTATGCAGACCAGAGATTCTTTCAAACCAAACATCAAGATCCACAAAAACCTCCACAAAACCTTTATTCTGTGCAAAATGTAAAAGTAACTTTCTTCTGGCAAGACAAAGTCAGAGGGATTTTTTATCTGTTAAAAATTCTAAGTTAGGGGTCTTACCACGTGCAGGTTTTTTTTTTTTTTTTTTTTTTTTATATAGATAATACTTTTCTTACATTTACAGATATGGCCAACAAACATTCTATTCCTAAATCCAGTTTTTTTCCCGATTTGGTCAGATCCGCCACTTTATTCAAACATATAACCTATTGTTCTCTCAATTACCTGACAATTAAAACGTGGATGTTACTCTAAAGACCCCCATAACTTCAAAGGGCCAAATCTCACATTTTATAACTCAATTATGTAATTTACTAGAGTATCAACAGTCAACATCAAGACAAAATGGGAAGAAGATTTAGAGACAGTCATTTCAGAAGAGATGTGGGTTAGAGCTCTTAACCTTGTGAAACAAACTACTTCTTGTGTACGTCTCAATCTGATTCAATTTAAAACTCTCCACTGTACTCACTATATTACAGTCAGACCTGCTAAAATATACCCTGAAATAGATGGGATGTGTGATCGCTGTAGAGCCACCAACGCAGACTTAGCTCATATGTTCTTGTCGTGCTCTAAGCTGGGAGAGTTTTGAAAATCAATATTTAGGGTTTTGAATGTTGCGTTTGGTCTACATCTAAAACCTAGTCCTCTACTGACTATTTTTGATGCTGTGATATTTAGCAAGAAAAATGTTATTGCTTTTGCAGATGCTATGACCCACAAAAATTTATTGACAGATGACCGTTGATACATGATTGGCCGTATTAAGGTGTACAAACTGATGTATAACTAACCGGCCTGCATAAAATGACGGGGATAAAAAAAAGATTTTAAGAAAGGATATATATATATTTTTTTTAATAGAGTTTTTCTAAATTTGGGACAATATTGTCCTATTAAGAGTACATTTATATACATGTTCAAGCCAGAATGATTTGACATTTAAATATGATTTCCCTCGACTTTAATTTTTATTTATCTAATCTCTTTTTCTTTGCCTGCACAGGGAAAGATGGGGTTGGATGGGGTTAATAAAAATATAAAACTGTTGAAATGCTGTGTAGTTCTTTTTATATTGCACACTGTCATCAAAGGAATTGTAACAAAACACTACAATCTGAATGGCATTGTCTGTTTTAACCACAATAAAAATATGAGTAAAGAAAAAATACAAAGTTATTCTACAAAGATTGTTTTTGTATAATAAAAAAAAAACACACTAAGCATTCTCCATGGGCATCATATATATGCTCTTTCACAGCAGGTTGTATCAACTGCATGGTGTGTTTAAAATTTTCAGGATAAAAAAAAAGCCAAATGCAAACATCTGATCATCCACGCTGTATCATGTTGGCCTCCTCAGCCTGAAATGTGCACCTGCGTGTTTTTGCATGCTCTGTTTAGAATGATGCATCTGCATGTGTGCAGGCAACATCCCAGCAGCTGCTGTGACAGCGTATGTGCAGCAGAGGGAAAAAAGCAGGAGGGAGACACTGCATCAAAAAAAGAGGGGGGGGGGGGGGGGGGGGGACCGAGGATATCCCTGTGCGTGTGTGTTTCTGTGTGTGAGTGGAGGAGCACAGGAGAGCAGGGTGCTCCGTGGCTACATGCAGCCAATCAATCCACCTGCACAGCGCTAAAATAACCGGCTGGTCTGAGCTACACGGAGGCTTCCCTCGCCGGATGATAAATGCAGCAATCTGCAAGCCCCACACGCAACACATGCCCGTTCATTCAGAAATTATCGCGCGCTCTCAGAGGCCAGCCTGCAACACGGCGGCGTGCACGAGCCCGGCTGGCATGCAGCAAAAGCTCACCTTTAAAGTGGTGTTCGGGTAGCTGAGGGGCACCTTGTGGAAGGTGCTGTTGGAGAGCACAGCCTGCTGGATGTCTTGGAAGATGGTGATGATATCATCCAGCAGGCAGCGCTTGTCCCTGTGGCTCAGGACGCACAGGTGACCGAAGGTGTAGTTGAACCCCTTGTAGGTGACGCGCAGCTCCAGCACCTGCTTGTGGACCTGCAGGACCTGGTCGGCCAGCTCCAGGATGTTACCCCCGGACTTGGCCAGCAGGATCAGTCTACCATATCTGCCCGGCGTGTGCAGATCCGAGTACAGCTTGTGCTTAGACTGGTCGACGGGGAACAGACTGTTGGCGAGGCTGCGCTCGATCTTGGCCAGGCTGTGAGTCGGGGCGACCAGCACCTCCAGGTCCCGCTCAGGCTTGAAACGGCTCAGCACGGTGGATCCGAAGATGATGGTGAGCACCGCGGGGACGGTGAGGAAGAAGACGGGGTGCCTGCTAACGAATAAGCCGAGCCAGTAGAAGGAAGCCTTGAGCCCTCTGTGTATCACTTGCCGCAGCATCCTCCACAAAATCCGGCTCGCAGATGCCCCGTCTCCTCCGATGAAGCACATGTGACATCAGACTCCTGTTTCCCGGCTCAGAACAATCCGTAAGAGAATTACACCAGGCTGCACAACACGCGCACGCACACATATACGCTCTCTCGTACTCACGCGCACACAACACCTGGAAAAAACAGCACTGCAGCAATGCGCGGCCAGACGGGCGGACGCGCACGGACAAGCGGACGGCTGTCAGAGGAGCATCGCCGCATCAGGCGATCGAGTCGAGCTGAGTTCAGGCCATTCCGCCTCCGATCCTGCTCCGCTGCTCTCCGGCTGCAGTGGCGGCGACGAGCCGCTGCTGTGCGGTGTGCATGTGTGTCTCCTGTCTGCCTGCACAGCCCCTCACAGCGGCGGCGGCGCCTGATTTATGTACATAACTGGAACCATGTGGCTGGTGGTGGGGAGGAGTTAGGGAAGGGGTGATAGAGGGGAGGGGGGGTAACAGTGATGTAGCCTGGTTATTTTAGGAACATGGGAGGAAACATGAGAGTCATGAGAGTTGTAAAATGCTCCTGCAGGTGGCTGAATGACCACCAGCAGGAATGAGTCAGTGTTGGCTTCATGAATGGGGAAAACCCAGCGAGTGGAGCTCATACAGGCCAGAGAGGCTGGAGTCAGAGGAGGGCAGACCTAAAGCCTTCTGTGGATGGAGGAAGTTTTCTTCCATTTCTTTTGCAAACAAACAGCACATTTTGCTGATGGAAATTTTAAAAAAGTGCAATCCAGAAATAAAAAATAAAAAAATATCATAAAAAGGTATGACGGAGTATTAGGGCCAGGCTAGAGATTTTTTTTATTCTATTATGAGAATAAAGTCGTTACATTACCTGAATAAAGTTTTAATATTACAAGAATTAAGTCATCATTCCACAACCTGTTTCAGAAAGAAACCTTTGAGCTCCTATCAACAGATGATGGCCGCCCTGCTCCACCAAACAGCAACCTGAGTCCACTTTGTCATTCTGCCTACTTTGATGCTGGTGCTAAAAGATTTCATTATTTGTCAAACCAGAGCCAAAGTATAACTTCACATAAGTCGCAACACTCCTCATTTTAGGGGAAAAAGGTGCTTGTTGTAAGAGTTCTCATAAAATACAACTTGTTTCTTGTAATTGTAGTTTATTCTCTTAGAATTACAAATTTATTCTCGTAATTTTATGACTATTCTTGTTGTGACTTTATTCTCGTAATATTACGAATTTATTCTCGTAATATTACAAGATGTAATTGTAATTTTACTTTCATCTTTACTTCCACTTTTCCTTCACGTTTATTTTCAATTTCCATTTAGAAAAAATGTCCTTTGCTTGCAACAATAATCTAACGAAATTCCCTCCATAGAATTTCACCATGAAAAAAAAAACGTTTATGTTAAATCCTTTACAAAATAAATTAAAGGTCACATCACATTTAAAGGTGTACTGCAGGATTTTTTTTTTCTGGGTGGATCTTCAAAGTTAGTGGTCCTCCTAACTGTCAGTCATTCTGGTGATATGTTTACGTAAGGCCGTCCTACATGCTCATCCCCATTTTCGCTTACCAGTGATGAGTCTGACATGGTGGAAAAATGGAAAATCTTCTTTTGTAAAGTAAGCTTGTCTGAGGGATGCAAAAAGCAATGAGGAGAAAATAGGCTTGTGCATGGTCTCGCACACACTGAATAGGTGTTCCCTCTCAGATGTGGGTACAGGGTTGTGCTTTTTTAAGTAGAGAAGGCAGTTCTTTTTCAAAATTTGTGAAGATCCTCCACTAGACCTTGAACTTAAGTGGATTGACTTCACTCTTGGAAAACTACAAAATTCATCTTAGGGTTGCCAGTCAACAATGGCTTTCTCTGCGAGCTAGTTTAAGCATTCATTTCAAGCTGGGCTGCTCCTTCAGGTGTGAGTTTTCACACACTCTGCAGAATATGTAATAACAATGAGTGGTCTATTTAAATTCCAGAATATTCTGCTTCACCCTGCATTTCATGCATAGCTTCCTGCCTGCAACCTGTTTGTGCATAGCCCCCCCATCGCCCTTCATGGGCTCTCCACAAATAATTGTGTGTTCACAAGATACGACGATGCCCATTGTGATAAAGTGATACGATCAGACGCATGCTAATTAAATAATATACATGTATTTGAATATTTCAGTGCTCGGCTAACGTTTTTCTCAGACATAGAAAGTCGCAGGCCTATTGACTCCTAACATTTAACATTCAGCGTCTGCTCTGCCGATAATGCAAGGGTAGAAGACGAAATGTGCTGTTTACCTGTTTAAAGAAAGAAACAACGAAAGAAAAATGTCTGAGGACTTCAGTGTTTAGGAAGAGCATGAGTTCTTTGCCGAGCTGAATGCACACTTTCATCTGGTTTGGTCTGCCGCGGTTTCCGTACCGTCGTGAACTCGCAGGCGCGCGCTTTCAGGAAATCCTATACACTACTGTGTATGCTCTAAAAACATTCTAAATGACTTCGTTTCAAGTAAATTCTTGATGCTACCCACTCAGGACACTTGGAATACATTGGACGAGCAGTATGGAGGAATATTGACACGTTTTTTGTGGACTTTTATGGACCTTTCTGCCTCGGGCGCCATAGACCTCCATTATTTGAATGTCAGCAGACAGCAAGAAGCCTCACAGATCTCCAGATGCATTTGAGATATCAAAAAAGTACTCCAGAGTGTTGTTCAGCATGGGGGTGAGTAGAAAATGAAGGCTAATCATGTTTTGGGTGTACTATTCCTTTAAGAACTGTCCCTGCTGATGATGGAATGCCGAACACCTGCGAGCGCCATCACCAGCCATCACCTGTGGAGAAAGGAGAGGAAAAATGCAGGGCCCAGCCCAGACATGTCCGCAGCACCCTGATACTCAAAGTTGAAATATCAAGGTATAAAACTCTATTGAGTGGTCCAGACTATTTAAACCAGACAAAACCCCGATTTGCCAGCAAAAAACATGGAATCTTTTATGATCTTTCCTCTTAAAAGAATGAAGTATTGACAGGAACATGAATCAAAACAAGGAATTGGAACAAAGCGATCAATTTCATGCACAATCATAATTATTACACACAATGGCCTGAAAAATTACTCTGCTACAGAAAATGATTATTCTATTATAGAAAATTATTCTATTTTATACTTGAGGTTTTACATATAGGTCTTGATACTCAGTTATGATTATTTGCTGAGGTCCTTTTCTGGAAGGTTGTTCAAACTACAAGTTAATTGTGGCCACCATCTTCTACTATTCTTCCCTTCAGATGTAACCAGATGTATTTGTTTGGTTTCTGGATAGACGAGTCAGAGCAGCTCCATCTCACTGCGGAGCTGAGTCCGAATTGGTTTTTAGTTGTGCATTGTGAGCAGGTAGATTGCATGAGGGCGTCGGGCCGAACATAAATCGTGAGCTCTGTACTCACTGTACGACTAAACCCTGTGGTTACTCATGCAGTGTGAGCAGCAGCTGCATGCAACGATTGAAAAAATCGCACAGTGTATGCCCGGATTAACAGGGAGAGTATATATGGAAGACTAAACAAAGACTGAGGTAATCAGCTGATATGGAGCAGGATGGATGGAGGTTTCTAGAAGGGCGCTAGGGGAAAGGAGACAGGCACAAGGGGGCAACAGAGGGTAACCTAACACTGCTTGAATATAACACAAAATGAAAAATAAATCAAAGATCAACAAAACAGAATTAGTTAGAAAAAAACTAATAACTCAACATCCAAAAGGGGAAAACCATAACAGTAGACCTTCAGATCTCTTTTTTGGAAGGACTAAATCAAATGCTCTTCGTGGACCACATTGACTTTCTGTTTTTCTGTTTGGATTAACGTTGTTCTTCTTTAAAAGAAGCTCATGGAAACAAAATACACTCATAGTACCATGTCCAGGTGCTATGAACTATAGATGTAGTCGAATTGCCAAAATGAGGGGCATCACTTATGACAGTGAATCATTGTCGGTACCAACATGAACAGGAAATCAACCCCATGTATTTTATATCCTACCCAATTCTTACTTGGTGTTTAAATATTGGACATCTACACACACTGCTCAGACCAGCTAGTTGTCTGTGGTGGAAGGAGTTAGTGTCAACTTGGGCGGTGAGGTTGCTTCAGGACCCAAAAGCAGAGATGAGTGAGGCAGAGATGAGGTCTTGTAGATTTAATGCAAACTGAGACAAACATCCAAATCACAAAAATACTGAGACCCATGAAACAGGAAACAATAGGGAAAACTCACATGGAAAGCCAGAGACGGGTAAGCAACCAACAATCAACAAGTATATATAGGAGACAGAACAAAAACTGGGGTAATTTATTACTGTTTTTCAAGGCTGCACTTAAAAAAATTAAATTGTCTAGAGCTGTTTTAAATTAAATTTCTTTTTGTATACACTCGTGTATACAAAATGACAAAATAAATCTGTCTAAGTTATCAGATGGTATGGAGCAGGTGTGGATGGAAGTGACTAGAAGAGAGCTAGGGGGAAGGAGATAGGCACAAGAGGGCATCAGAGAGTAACTAAAGACTGGCTTAAATATAACACAAAATAGAATATAAACCAAAGATCAACAAACCAGAATTACTTAGAGAGTGGAAAATGAAAACTAAAAACTCAAAGTCCCAAAAGGGGATAACCATGACAGTTAGGGGTTTAAGCCCCCTGCTCCATCAGTCTGATTGTCCATAGGCAAGACCGTTTAGACAGTACATGATCTCTGATGCCATTGAATCTGTGACAACAACCAGGCAATTCTTTCTGTAGTCAGTCCGAGTGAATAATGTAGGTTTAGCCCAAATACATCAAATACATATTGGAATCTTTCCAATGAATGATTTCAATATGTATTTAAAATGACTTCTGCTTTATCTTGGAAGTCCAGAGTGTGTTGGCACTCATTTTAACATTCCATGTTTTTAAATCTATTCTATGTCTTTAAAGGTGTTTTTTTTTCCCTTTGTCTTGAAAGTATTAACAGGATTTTCCCTCTTTATGTTGGTGTGTGTGTGACAGTGTATTTGCATGAAGAGGTTTATTTTGTCCTGGGTCTGTGTCACTTTATGAAAGTGATTTTCCACTTGAGTGCTTGTTTCCCAAATGCTGGTGTTGTCCTGTAATCCTGCAGGGTCCTCTAAGGGTGTCACATCCTTGCTGCTAATCAGAGCCATGCATCTGCACAACACACCCACACACACATTGTGTCACTCTATTCGTGTGGGGATATTCCATTGACTTCAATTCATTCCTCACTTATTTCTATGGCCTAACCCTGACCCTTGCCCTAACCATAGCAACAAATACCTAACCCTGCACCTAATCTAATCTAAATGCACACCCAAGACCTAAACCTAAGCCCAAC